TAAAATCCTAATTCATGGTTTTATTGTATTAGAGCATGCTTTGTTTCCTATTGATCAGCTATCTGAAGAAGCAGCTGAAGCACCAAATAAATACTTTCGTCTTTACCGTCAAAACAATGCTAGAAAGTTTTCCAGAGAGTCTTGCGACCTTGACGCTCTTAATAGATTACTAATTAGTTCAGATCCTATTTTACTTAGCATGATAAAATTAACAAGAAAAAACACTAAACCATTTTTAAAAGAAACTTTGCAGATGCTACTTCCAGCTTAACTTTCTAATTTCACTGATATTGTTAACACAGAGGAGAAATCTTCAGAGTAATCAGGAATGTCTTACGAGCAATCAGGGATGTCTTTTGATGAAGAACTTTAGCTTTCAGCATTATCCTTTTAATAGTAGTTTTTTTGAGTTAAAATATAAATAGCTGTAAAAATTTTTTTTTTAATATTTACCATAGCTTAATAAGAGTTATATAGTAGTTGCAAGTGCTTCCGAATACATTAAGATAACGCAAATCGCGATGTTTTGACTTTCAATTCTGAGTGAAAGTTAGAGGAAGAAAAGTTATCCACCATATATAATAGGTTTATATTATGATAAAAACCATATAAAATAGGTTCTTATCATGTTTATGCTTTAGTAAAGTGTAAAAAAAAAAAAGCTGTGAGGAGGGGGGGGGGGAGTTTATCATCCATAAATTTTTTCAAAACCTTTTGTTTTCTCTTTTTATTTGGATTTTCTACAGCTTTTCCTAAAAAAAGTTAAACTTTTTCAATCAAAGATTGTTAAATATTTTTGGGCGCCTAAATCAATCAAATACCCCACTGTGCATCGTCTATAAACAGAATATGACTTAAAGATTTAAATTACTGTATAAAAAATATAAATTACTATATAAATACTTTTAATACAAAATAAATGCAACTTTATTTTAATTTTAATTATCAATTTATGCATTATTCATGTTTAATTTTAATTATCAATTTATGCATTATTTATGTATTTATTTATTTATTAACTCATTTATTAAATACTTAAACGCGTTGAAAAACATCAATGTACAATGTACAATGTTTGTGTTTTGATTTATATGTAATTTTTTCTTAATTTAATTATAAAATTAGTAACTTTTTAATGAAAAATATTTCTTAATATTAATAATGTTATCTTAAAAAAATGACCAATTATTCAGTTTAAAATATAAAACGAGAAAAAAAAAGGGAATGCAATACTATCTTGAAGATTTGAAAAAGGTATTCACTGTGTGGCGGTGGCAATCACTGTGTGATCACTACGGTGCATTTGGCATGTCTTTTTCTAAATTTATCTCACTGTATAGGAGAAAGCGTTGTTCCCGCCCTTTTCTACTTTTAATATTCTTTATAACACTTCTAGACATCGATAATAATTAAAATTGTACAAATGTAGCTCATAATTAAATAATTTTACTTTCATTTTTCAAGATGTCTCAATAACGGCATTTTGCAACTACCATATAAAACATGGAAAAGTGGAGTTGGTACTAGTAGGTAAATTTGAATGTTACAAAAATAATACTACATACGTACAAACACAATGTAAATAAAAGTAGAAAATTTATAAAACATTTTTCTGTATTAAGTTGTTTAAAAAAAACATTTATAATTAATGACTTAAATAATAATATTTTTGTTTTTTAACTAGTGCATACTCGTGAAACAAATTCCATATTAAAAATATTTGTTTCACGTGCACACAACAAAAATATTTATCTTTGAAGAAAAGACAATTTTTTAGCTTTAACGGTTGCGAACACGACAGACAAAGGACTGCCGCGTTTGATCTGCAATACTGCGCACGAAATAAACAGCTGATCTTCTGCACAGCCGGCATTAAGTAGTCCCAACACCACTGATAATCCAAAATACCATGTCGAAACTTTTCTTTTTTCCTTTTTGACCAGCTTTTTTGAGATCTGACCCACTTTGCGTAGGTTTGCTTTTTTCCTTCATGTATTTTTTTTAGTTATGCGGACTAACATTTCATTGTTTTTTTATTGGACCATGAACCTTACACTTTTTACATCGATACTCTTCAATATCTTGCGCTCTTTACTCTTCAATACTAACTCAAGACCTAGGAAACTATTCACTACATTTTTAAAGTTCAATCGTAAATTGCCCTTTTTCATACTCTTTATTGCAAATACAATATAATGTCGATGTCATGACAAATATCTTTTTTACTTATATATACTATATATGATAAGTCGAACCAATTGTGCGTATAGATTAATTAAAAAATATATAATTTTGCTTTGTTTAAACGTGTTAACACTATAGAACAAAAATTTATGTTTTTTTTTGTATATATATACGCCGGAGAAAATATAAATAGTCTCACCTTGTACTACATAATACAATACACAATTTGTACAATACACAAATTGTACACAATACAATATTACAATAAACACAATACACAAATTTTACACAATACAATATTTTTTTAAATCTGTAAGCAAATTTGTACGGTACATATTTTGCATCCACTCATATAAAAATCTTGTTACAAACAAACTTTTTAGATTATAATAAAGCGTAATTAAATTGCGAAACATTTTATAAAAACATAAAATGTATAAAACTCGATATTTGCGATAACAAATATAGTTAGCCTCAATAGTAATTATTTACAATTTACTTGTATATTTTGATCTGGTGAATCACATTTATAACTTTTTTTTATTATTATTTGTAAGTTAAACAAAGTCTGTGAAATTAGTCCTCATAAAATTTTTAACAATTGGTTTTTTGATACCTGAATGCGAAATGGGACGTGGTAAGCGTTTAACGAATGAAGAAACAGCTGTAATAAAAGTAAACAAAGGTACAGGTATGATACAAGGTAAAGATACAAAATGCAAAGAACATTAAAAGATCTACGAAAGTGGGTAATAACTACTTCAAGATAAGCGTTAATTATGGATTTTTTTAAGGAACGTGGTGACTATTGTAAAATTGATAATTGAACTGAAAGAGCTATTGAACATCGTGCAGCTGCTCAGCACATGACTGCATCTCAAATTCGTGCTAATTTACAAAACCTCTAACTCATCTACGTGTGTGACAAATCTTAAATGAAGATCCAAACGTAGTTATGAAAATGCGTAAACCGAAATTGTAATCTTCTTTATAACTGTTTGTCATAAAGAAGATTACAATTTGCATAATAAAATAGGTCTAGGCAGGAAGAGTGGCATCAAGTTCTCTTTAGAGAAGAAGAAAAATTCAATCTAGATGGTTCTGATGGCTATCAATAATATTGTCACGATCTTCAAAAAGAGGAAAAAACTTGAATTAGTCGTAACTTTGGTGGTAGAACTGTTATAGTTTGGATGGGTAGGGGAGGGACCTCCTTTGCTGTAAAACATCCACTGGCATGGATTTTAAAAATAATGAATTCTCGAGACTACCTTAACTTTCTAGAAATTAGTTTTATTAAACATGGTCAAGAACTGATAGGTGAAGAATTCAATTTTCAACAAAACAATTTAACTATTCATAATTAAAAGCTTAAAAAGCTTGGTTTAGAGAAAAATATAAGTGCGATTAAAAATCTATGAGGAAAACTTACTAGAAAGGTTTATAAAAATAATAAGCAATTTGAATCCACATTAGAGCTAAAAACTTGTATCAGGGAACCTTGGAATAAAATATCTTTAGAAACCATCCAATATCTGTGACTTTTGAGTAAAGACGCAAATTTCAAGTCATTCAGAATTGAGGAAGCAATACTTAATATTAAATTAGCGTAAAAACAAATTATTTTTAGTATTTTCTTGTATGTAACATATATAAGGCTAATTCTGTTTTCTCCATTTTGCTTTTTAATTTTTTTTGAATATATATATATATATATATATATATATATATATATATATATATATATATATATATATATATATATATATATATATACATATATATATATATAAATATATGTATATATACATATATATATATATATGTATAAATATATATATATATATATATATATATATATATATATATATATATACATATATATATACATATATATATATATATATATATATATATATATATATATATATATATATGTATATATACATATATATATATATATATATACATATATATGTATATATATATATATATATATATATATATATATATATATATATATATATATATATATATATATATATATATATATATATATGTATATATATATATATATATATATATATATATATATATATATATATATTTATACATATATTTATATATATATATATCTATATATATATATATATATATATCTATATATATATATGCATATATATATATATATATATATATATATATATATATATATATATATATATAAATATATATATATATATATATATATATATATATATATATATATATATATATATATATATATATATATATATATATACATATATATATATTGAGGCGGTTTAAACTTTAACCGCCTCAATATATATTCATATAATGTTCATAATTTTTAAACGCTGAGTGATTATTGCATGATTTTTTGATAAATTTAAATTTTGTTGAGAACGGTAACAAAATATCCCTGTCAAAGCGTCTTTATTTGACAAAAGTATAAACATTTAAATGTTTGAAGATGTATATATATATACATATATATATATATATATATGTATATAAATATATATATATATATATATATATATATATATATATATATATATATATATATATATATATATATATATATATATATATATATATATATATATATATATATATATATATATATACGAAGTTTGTAAATGCATACAGATATACATTAACAAACTTATGAGTTTCTGTTATATTAAAAATAATCATTTATTTGTAATGTATGTAAAGTTCTTTACCCTAATTTTTATACCATTTTTTTTGCAATTTATTCTTGCCTAATTTTTTCTCTCTTTTTTTTTAAGGCGTATTTTCAAATGGCATTGTTTCTTACCTAATTATTCGTATTCGCAAACTAAGAACTACAAACAATTTATTGATTTTGAATCTTGCAATTTCAGACATAATTGCGTGTTTAAGCATGTACCCCTTTATCTACTTTAACTTATCTGAGACTAGCATACAAGGTACTACAGCAAATGTGTTATGTGGTTTTACAGAAGGTTTGTATGGTTTCTTTGTTGCAGCCCTAGTATCATTATTAACCTTAAGTGTGCTTTCAATTAGCAGATATTTGGGTATAAACCATCCACTAAAATTAACTTGGAAATTTGAAGTTAAACATATGAAATGGGTGTTTGGATTATCTTGGTTATTCAGTGTAGGATTTCTTATACCTAACCTTGTATCATTTAGATATGATGAAACTTTACAGCTCTGCGTACGAAATTGGGCTAGTGGTGTTAATCCGTTGATATACTTTATTTTTACAGGCATTTTGGGTGTGTTTTTGCCATTATCTTCTCTCTTGTTTACGTACATTACCAGTTTATATACTTTGTGCTTCAAAGGTCGGTTAAGTATAAACAGAAGTAAAAACAACTCAGCTGCATCAACATGCAGTATTAAAGTAAAACAAAGAGCCCTCAAGTCGCTAGGTGTTCTTGTATTGACTTATATAACTTGCTGGTCACCTTTTGCTACATACTGGTTTTTATCCGTTGCCATTCGTAAGTACTCGGAAAGTAGTTATGATGATAAAAGAAAAAGCATCCGCATTACAAGACTAACATTATTTTTTGCAGTATTCAATACTGTACTTAATCCAATAGTTTATGCATACAAAAGCAGACAGCTTAGATCCGCGTTTAAATTACTTATTGGAATGCAAGTTCATGATGTACCAAATTCGATAATAAGAAGTCGAACATCTTCAAACTATGCAACAGACACTGAACTTAATAAGTGCAATGTATCTTCTTAATGCTTTTCAGCATTGTTTTAGAATTCATTGAAGGTTTACAAATTCACTTTTGATAAAAATGTTATTGTAAGCTCTTTATATTTTGAAAATATCACAGCTTATAGTTAAAGTTTAAAATATAGTTTAAAGTTTAAAATTTTCCGAGCTATATATTATTGATATCTTTAACTTTTAACCAATTAGTATCAATTAACCAGTTAGTTAAATTTATACAAATTTAATTTATTCAATCAAAAAATCTTTAAAATACTCAATATAAGCATCAGTTCATTTTATGTATACTTGCACATAAAGGCATCATATCGATACCTTAATGTGCATGTTGGGTAAATTCAAAGTTGTTATTTTCCAGAGATGACAAGAAGTTGCAACGGCTTCGTACGCATTTATAATACTGCTTCGATATTGTTTAAAAAAATATAAGACTTAATGATAAAATTGACTGTAGCGTAATATTATTTTTTACTTATGCACATATTTAAAAAATTTTCCAAAGATTTTTTGTAATTTTTTTGTGTTTCAATAAACGACGAATAATGGCAAAGAAAAAAATTCTTTTTGGTTTAAATTTTTTCGTTCTAAAATAAAATTATTTTTGATACATAAATATTTTTAACGTAATTTTTTGGATTTGTTTTATTTTGGTTTGAAAATTTATCTTTGGGCTTGATAATTGAAATTTACCGAAAATTTTTTGTGTACAAAAAATGTTGCAAAAAAAGAAAAAAAAAAATTGTTTTAAATTTTTGTCTTAAAATACAAATTGTTTTGGTTTAAAGACAAAAGTTCATTTTACTGCTGAAATAGTTTGAAAATAGTTCAAAATAGTTTAATAGAGTCATTCAAAGTTATTTTTAATAAAAGGTAAAGAAGTAATTTAATCACAACAACATGGAGGTTAAATTACGGTTCATAAGTTCATAATGGAAAACATTTATTCAATAATAAGAAATTTAAAAAAATTAATTTCAAAATTAATAAAAATATACAGTTTTATCTTGCACTTCCAATATATTTAAAAAATATTTTAACAATTACAAGAAACAATACAATGAAGCCGAAATTGATTACTTTGGAGTTTCACATGTTTAGAACTGCGATAATTGTGGTTTAGTAAAGACCAAGAAAAAATTTCTTTACTTAATGCAAATAATAAAAAAGTTATTTATACAGTATACAACTGGGTCTATGCATCAACCTTCTACTTACCTCATTTCTTTGTTTATAAATCAAAACAAAACCCGTGCTTAACTCTTTAGTTCCGAAACACGAGCCTTGACTAACACACCCGCTGCGCAAAGAACAAGTTGAGCGGTATTACCAGAGACCTTGGGAAGAATAAGCTCAGAACTTCCTGCTTTTGAAGCAAGCGCTCTACCAACCCAACTAACTGAAAACGTTTAAGTACGTTCGGCGAACGTTGTGAACATTCGAGCACGTTCTATAAACATTTATAGAACGTTCGCAACGTTTGTTCAACGTTTGTTCAACGTTTTGTGTTAGCTTGTATTAATACACCACTAACGCATGAATCATAAAAATAAAAATATTTTGAAAAAAAAAAATTTTTAAAGTTTGTTAAAAGTTTTACTTAAAAGTGGATAGTGCTTCACCATAAATACACGCAGTCAGTGCGTTTAAAATTAATCTACTATACCTATCAAAATTGAAAGTAACTGAATCATTTTAATATCCAGCACAAGAGTTTTAACGTATGCAACACAATGTAAGTACTTGGAAATTGGATATTAAACAATATAAATGAAAGGTAATTCTAAAACAACTAAATTTTATATGCTACTAAACTTTTAATATTAAATTATATATGATGAAGCTTAACTTATTCTTAAAATGTTTAGGTTAATTAAATTTTATGTTAATAGCTGAAATAAAATAAAGGCCATGTTATTTAATGCCAATTACAATCCTAGTAAAGGATATCTAGTTCTGTAACTTATGCAAAAAGACTCGTTTTATGACTTATGTAATCCATATAAGAATGCATTTAGCCTTAATTTAAAATGTTCATAATTAACCAAAGATAGCAAGCCATTTGTGAAATATGGCACTCACTTACTTTTTGTGGTTATTCGTAAGCAACAATACTTCTTATTTTTAATAATGATAAGGGATATAATATTACGATATAATCCTTTTTTTTGATGTATGTATGCATACATATATACATACATACACATGTATTTATGAATGTATGTATGTATGCATGTATGTATGTATGTATGTATGTATGTATGTATGTATGTATGTATGTATGTATGTATGTATGTATGTATGTATGTATGTATGTATGTATGTATGTATGTATGTATGTATGTATGTATGTATATATGTATGTATGTATGTATGTATGTATGTATGTATGTATGTATGTATGTATGTATGTATGTATGTATGTATGTATGTATGTATGTATGTATGTCAAACGTTGATGTTTACAGTGTGTTTTTGTATGCAGGCATTTTGCAAGGTTAGAATTATTTTTTTCTATCTCATTGTTTTTACAAATCGAGAAAACCAAGTTTAAAGTTTTAATTGGATCTGCAGACCAAATGACATAAAAAACTTAAACAAAACCAATTTGTATTAATTTCCTAAACAGGTTACCACAGTTTTAAAGAAATTGTATTAAAATATTTAAAGTGCAGATGTCTGAATTACTACAGCCCGATTTGGAGATAAAACAATGTAACACACACTTATTTTATAAAATACAGTGTTATTTTGTTCTATCTCCATTTTCTATTAAAAAACATAATACCAACTAGAATTTTTTATATATATTGTGGCAAGATGATTGTATATTTTGGCAATTAAAGTACTGTAAGGTACATAGATTTATTAGAAAAAAAATCTTATTTCAGACTAGTGAGCAAATAATATAAACACGCTACTTTGTCTAAAATTCAATTCAACAGAGAAGATAAGTAATATATTATCTAGAGTATGTACCAAGATCTTCACAACAAAATAAAACTTTAGTTATAAGTTCTAAAGGCATAACATCTTAAATACATTGCACAATAAAAAAGATATCTTAAAGAATAATTAGCTAACCAGCACCTCTGGTAAGGCCATTAAAAGTATAATATTTCAGTAAAAAACCCATTTAACAACATAACATATAAAATATATATATTTTGACAACACAGTAAATTATTTAAAAATACTCTTATAAAATGCAATATTTACAGCAGGCATATATCTGAACAGATTTTGAAGGACATTAGCTTTATTTTTTAAAATTTGAACACTCCTATTCAAGGCAGAAAACATTAGTATCTCTGCCATGACTAAGATCGTAGATTGTTTAATCATGCTTTTGAAGAAACATTATAACATGATTTTCTGTAGTATACATGATCTGAATGCTAGATGTTTTATCTAGATATAGGGAACAAGCTTAAAATTAAATAAGTCTGCAATAGTTAAAAAATGTTTGAAATTCAATTTCTTCATTTGGTAGACAAAGAATTTTTTTTTTTGATGAGCAGATTCTGATTAAACCAAGGGGACTAAATATGTGAACAGGAGCGAGTGAACAGGAGCGAGTGAACAGGAGCGAGTGAACAGGAGCGAGTGAACAGGAGCGAGTGAACAGGAGCGAGTGAACAGGAGCGAGTGAACAGGAGCGAGTGAACAGGAGCGAGTGCTCTATCGATTTGACTGTGAATATTATCAATCTTAAACTTTTGTTAAATTACTCTGATTTTTGGGTAACATATCGCAAACCAAAAATCAACAAATATACGCGTTCATTTTTTATCACTGATATTTTATGTGTATTTAAATTTAAAAGAATTTAACAGTCTTCTTTTTGGTTACAGATTGTATAAAACGTTTTCTCTCTTTCTATTTTTATACGGCTGATCAGATTGTCTTATCTGCTTTCTCACATTCTGTATCCAAGTTTTAGGTGGTGACTTGTTTCCTAGTTTTTCTTCAACGTAGGAGCAGACGACGAGCTGGTGTTATTTTAGGGTTAATAACATCCGCTACCATTAATAACTCACCCATTATACTCTGCTAGCCCAAACTCCCTTCCTAATACACTACTTAGCAGCGACAATTATTGTGGTTTAAAAAAATAAAAAAAATATGTTGTTAGATAAAATTATAAAATATAAGTTGAACAATCAAATAAAAATTTAACACGAATAAAAATTTAATATAAATCATGGTTAAAAATCATTTAAAAAAAAAAAAGTTTAATAATAACAATTACAAATTTTTCAAATCTCCACAAACGAGAGCGTGTAAAGTTAAAACATAAAATTATTTTAGGCCGCTTAACTGCAGATTTACCTATATATATATATATATATATATATATATATATATATATATATATATATATATATATATATATATATATATATATATATATATATATATATATATATATATATATATATATATATATATACACACTCAAAACATTACAAGTTCTTCATTTAAATTCAACATGATTAATGAATAATTATGCATAATCACATTTTATTATAATTAAATTAAATAGTTACCTGAAGCTGATTGATTATACATGGTTTGAGATTGAACTAAACATATTGTGTGTTTATATATATATATATATATATATATATATATATATATATATATATATATATATATATATATATATATATATATATATATATATATATATATATATATGGCATTTATAACAAAAATCTTAATGTAAAGTAAATAAAAATTATAATATAAAATATAACAATATTCAATAATTTTATAGTTTGTTTAACATGTTAAAAAGAAATGTTAAATCTTGTTAACAAGAGATAACAATAAAAATAAAAATATATTTACCAGTAAAAAATGTTTATATATATTTTATAAAAGAGTGATTTCAAGATTGATCAATTTTTAATATCAAATGGTTTACTCCCTTTTAGTCTCACTAAAACTTTAAGTTTGACTAAAACTTTTAGTCAGGCTTGAAGTGAGTGAACTTTTTGACATTAAAATTTGATTTTTTAAATAAAATTACAAATAAAATTTAAAGAAAATTAAAAATAAAACTCTTTCTTTTTTACTAAAAAGAAGTGACTTATCTTTATATATAAAAATAAGTCACTTAC